CCCCAAAACCCCAAAACCCCAAAACCCCAAAACCCCAATTGGTTAATCTCTAATTGAATCCTATTATGAGTTGTTGCCTATGAACTTATTAAACTTATCCTTTGCCTTTCCAAATAATCCCTTTTTATCCTGATTTTCGGCCCCTCCAGCATTATTAGCAGTGTTTGAATTCTTGACTGCTTGAGGTTGAGACTGAGGTAATGGTTGAGCAGGATAAGCGTTAGCATATGGGTCATTTGCTGGCCCAGCTGGGTTATAAGGATGATTAGGCATTACTGGCGGACCACTAGGCTGAGGTGTATACCCTTGTGGATGGTTTGTATTATGACCAGGAGCAGTAGGGTTATACTGAGGCTGGTTCATTCTATTCTGCTCTTTCATCTCTTCATTTCTCTGATTATCTCTATCAACTGCCATCTGCCTCCTTCTTCTCTTCTCCTTCTCAATATTGTCATACCCACAAAGACAAAATCCAATGAATGGCTTGACACATTCGTTCTCAGCACATGCTAACAAACAAAGTAGGATTACAAAAAAGAAGAACCCAACAATAGTCATTGCCATATGCCAGCCAGCTACAAAATCAGCTGCTGAGAGGACCCCTCCATATCGATCCTCTCAGACTGGGTTTTCATCGTTCGTCCAGGCCAGAATGATACAGTCCCAAACAAAAGTCCAGATGTAAAAAACAATGAAGAATAAAACTACGAAATCCTTACAAATAAATTTCCAGACCTCTTTAGCAATAGAGTTTGGATTTTGGTATTTCTCGTATGCCTTAAAATAGCCCTCGCCTATTTTCCTGACAGAGTAAATGACAAACGCAACCGTGATGATAAAGTTTATTATTGAGATAATCATTGCAACCACATAGTTATGCTCACACCAGTCAGTATGCTCCGACTTAGCAATAATATAAATCACTCAAATAAGAGTGGGAAGGATCAAGAAGATGCAGAACAGGATTGATCAAGTGCTGAAGGGCAATCTTGAGTAGTTTGGACAACAATGGCACTCGAAAAGCTCTTCACAGGTCTTGGAGCACCCTTCTCCACAGCATTTACAGGCTCCTCAGCAAGCCTTGCTACATCATTTACCAATGTAAATCATTTATTATTCAAAAATGCGATTCATAGTGGGGTTTTGGGGTTTTGGGGTTTTGGGGTTTTGGGGTTTTGGGG